TCATATACATCCTATTTCGTTATTGTCTTTTTTTTCAACATAATATCATCAGCAAGCAAAAAAAAAGAGAAAGAACAAAAAGAAAAAAAAATGTTCAAAGGACCACAACAAGAACAACAGCAAAAGCGGACAATGAATATATGCATGAATTTCCTTTTGCTTTTTTTTTTATACAACAGAAAAAAACAAGTCATCCACAACAACGGTTATGCAGTGTAAGAGAGAATGAACAAAGAATACAATGACAAAAGAAAAACAGACGAAGTAACAGCAAAAAACTGTTCGATTACGAGAGAGAGAGAATGTGTTTGAATAAGAGAAAAAGAGAGAGAGAGGAGAAGAAAGAAAACAAAGAAATTTCCTGACAAGAAAGCCTTATACGGCACATGCTATTTTCATGGAAAATAGACCAGAAAAAAAAATGTATATGTATGCACAAAAGAAAAGAAAATGATTTTCTTATCAATATGTCGATTTGCTAATATAGACAGAAACATATATGCAAAAAGCTATATATAATTTAGTTTTGCATTTTATGTTTATTTTTAATCGCTACAATGTCTGTTCTAATAAATACTTGTAGAGAAAAAGAAGAAGTGACAAAGAATAAGGAAGTAAAGTTAATATGCTAGACTATATTAGAAAAGAAAACAAAGAAGAAAGAAGAAAGAAGAAAGAAGACAGAGAGGTCATGGTTGCTGTTTCGCCGATGATTGTTGTTGTTCAAGTGATGGATGTGTTGGTGGAGCATAGGAACGTAGTATGGATTCGTCTGAAACCGACATTGGATTAGCGCCAGGAAAATTGGCATAACCAAAATTCTAGATAAGAAATTATATTTTAAAATAGAATTGTATTTTATTTTTATAAAACTTACAGAAATATTCCATGTTGGTGCAAAAAGTTGAGGACTCATAGCACCACCACTAGCAGCCAAAATTTGTGAAAGAAGTTCAAGACTAATAGCAGGATTTGTAGGTGTTCGTCCATTTTTTGCTAATGTATATGCAGCTACATCAATTTGTTCATATGGTAAAGTTGAAGATACAGTAGTTGGAAGTACGGATGAAGTTGTTGATGTTGACGGAAGATGAGAAATAAGTTCTGTTTCAGATGAAGGAACTTTTTTAGTATTAGAAGCTATTACTGCTGCTGTTGTTGTTGTTGTACTGCTAGGTTTTTTTGTTGAATTAAGATTATTGTTAGCTGATTGTCGAAGTTGATTTTCGAGAATGGATTGATGTGTTAATGGATTTGGTTGACGTGGTGATTTACTTTTTTTTATTGCTTGTTGAGAAGAATCTGCATGTGGATTATTTGTATTTGTTGATAAACGTCTTCGTGTAGGTGATATTGCTTTTTGTTGTTGTAATTGTTGTTGTAATTCTAATTCAGCTAGAAGTTTTTGTTGTTTAAGTTGTTGTTGTTCTTTACGTGGACTTGGTGGAATAACAGGCAAAACTACTGAAGGTGGTGGAGGAATAAGAGGAAGAGGAGGTGGTGGTGGTAGTGATGGTGGTAATGGTGGTGTTGGTGATACTTGAGTAACAGTTGTACCTGTTGTTGTTGTCGTTGCTGTTGTTGGTGGTGGTGGTGGTGGAGGAATGGTTTCATTAACTGATAAAATGTCTGATAGTCGTCGACGAAGATTAGCATTTGTTACTCGAAGTGAATCACGACGATGTTTAAGTTCATCAAACTTTTTCTGTAAAGCAGCATTCTCAGATTTAAATTGATATAAACATGATAATAATGATGACACATCATGTGGCATAGTTTGTTGAAGAAGAAAATCACTTGATGATTCCCATTCTTGTTCAAGAAATTCTTCTAATGTCTGTGGTGGAAATGTTCGTTGTTGATCTGTTGTTGCCGATTGTGTTGATGTATCTTGTAATGGTCGTCGAGGATAGAAATCAATACGTAAGGGTGTTGAAGAAGATGGAACACGATGACGAGATGTTTCTTCATTTTTATCTAAAGAAAAGAATGATTCAAAAAAATAAAAATAAAAATTTAATAAATACCTGTTGATGATATTTGTTGTAATTGTTCATCTACATGTTCCTCTTGTTTAAAAGCATCTGAATTAATTTGATTACCAAAATGATCACATGGATAATAATTTGTTGATCGAGAATTTAATTTAATTTCATTATCATTTTCAGTTTCAGATGATTTTTGTTGAATATTTATTAATGTATCATTGACTTTTTGATGTTTCATATTATTTGTATTATTATTCATTGGAGGTTTTGAAAATGGACGTTTTACACCATTTGTATATTGCTGAGCTAATAAAGTTTTTTTTGATGGAGGTCGACCAACTGGTCTTGTTGGGCCACTTTCAATTGAATGTTGACGTTTTTTACGTGGTTGTCCATCTTTATTTAATTTAATAGAAAGTCTACGCTTTTTATTGAGTTCATAATCGTCATCATCAACATCTTCATCTCTACAAAGATATATTTTATATAGATATCAAAATAGAATAATTAATTTTACTTCGTTTTTGTAATAGATGGTTTTTTTTACTGGAATCGATTTTGAATTTGTTGGTGTTGTATCAGTTGAATGACGTTGTTTTATAATAGGTTTATTATTATTATTATTATTATCGTTATCATTAGTAGAAGATAGGGTACATCGAGATGCTAATGGTTTTTCTTCTACAACGCTTAATGATGATTGTTGATTGACATTTGGTTTGGATACTTTTGAGCTATCAGGTGTTGTTTCTCTATTAAATAAAAAAAAACAAGATGATTATTCAAATCAATAATATAGTATCATAAGAAATGAGTAGATTGTACAGTAATATATAGAGTATATCAAAAGTCATCATAACCTTACAATACATATACGTCTATTACTTTCACGTGCATTTATTTGAAGTATATTAAGAACTGTGAAAATGAGTTTGGTAAATTACTATCTATAATCTATCTGTCATTGAATTTTATGATTTTACTCTCTGCTTGCAACGATTTCTAAAGTCATTTCAACTAATTTTAATAGTTTAAAATTCACAATAATCATTAAAACTCGAATATATATTGGAAAAATATCTACTTTTTATATTATCACTTTCTATACACTTAGATTAATTTTAGATCTATAGAGAATTTATAGATGTATGTAAAGTGATCAAGATTTTTAAATTTCTCTATAATAATTGAAAACAAACTTTGTATCTATGATTGAAGGATTTGATTTTGTTATCACTAATGTTCCTTCTTTTGCATCAGGTTGATTCGATGATAATGATGACGATGTGGCTGCTGCTGCTGCTGCTGGGGGTGGTGGTGGAACAAAACTTCGATCTTCTTTATTTAATTGAACAAATTGTGAAAGATCATTAAGTGATCTATTAGGATTCATTTCATCGTTTAATTTTGCTTTCTTTTGTAATGATGAATTCGTTGAAGATGAAGATGATGAACGTGAATGACTTTTTTGTTGTACAATAGGAGAAACAGAGGTTGATGTTGATGATAAAGATGAATTTGTATTTGATGACGATTTTCGTTGCAATGTATCGACACTATGAGAAACACGTGGTACAGGTGTTTGTTGTTCGTCACTTGTATTTGTTTGATTATTTGTTTCATCCAATATCGATGTTGATGAGGGCAAATTTGTATCACTATCTGCTGCTTCAGCTGCAGCAGCAGCTACAAAATCAGATAATTGTGATGGACTTTCTTTTTCTTTTCCGAGTGGATGCTGAATAAAAAGTAAGAATAGAGAATAATTTATTTTATATTTTAAATAATTAATTTACTTGTTTTTTTAATTGTTCTGGTGATGCTAATGCATTTGGTGAATATTGAAAAGCTGCTACTTGACGTATAAATTTCTAAAAAAGAAAACAATATAAAATTGATAAAAAAAAATTATTTCTTACAGAAAGTTTTGGACGATGTTGTTCACAATAAATTGGATATTGACAATTATTTTTTCGAACATCTTCACATAATAAACCATGAGCTTGTGCACATGTTACATGAAAGACTTGTGAACAATTTTTAGCTGTACATTCACAACAGGCACCACTTGTTGCAATTATTTTTGAACGTCCATTTTGTATACAAATCGAACATTCTTGTCCAAAACGTGTTGATGGAACTTTTGATAGAATTATTGGTTCCATTGTTGTATCATCACCAAATGATACTTCAGGAATATACAATGCACATACAACATGTGCCCAACCACCATCCGATGTTCGTTTCATTGCACCTTCAACTGTTGGACATAAACGACAAGGCTAAAAAAAATTATTTAATAAAAAAAAAAGAAAAATTTTTTTTTTAAAACTTATTACCGCTCGAATATCACCCGCTTCACATCGACCGCAATACCAATCACCATCAGGTATTGATACAATACCATAACATGCTAAAAAATTAATATGATTAAATTATAAATGTAAAAATATATAAATATGTTTTTTTTACCCGTATGACAAGCAACTGTACAACCTTTTCCATCACAATAAACAAGAGCATTATTAGCAAAGCCTTGATCATCAGAACAAACACAACAACCACCAACAAGTTCTTCACTATCTAAACCATTTTTTAATGTTGTTGTTGTCGTTGTTGTTATATGTTGTTCATCATTTCCATTCTCTTGAATTTTATTTTTATGATGAAAACCATTTTTATTTTCTCCATTTCCACTAACACCATTTACACTTGGCAATACTGTTTTTGTATCTTTCATCGAAATTTTTACTATAAAACAAATCAAAAAAACATATATTTTATATAATTAAAAATAATAACTAACTAAAACGTTTTTTGATCAGTACGAATATTGACAATAATACATCTGAAAAAGTAAAGAAAAAAAAATGGTCCTTGACATACAGTCGATGTCAATAACTAGATGTCACGTTTTCTTTTTTTTCTTCTTTTCTTTGATTCTTTATCTTTCAAACTAATAAAATAGATCGAATAGAACAACAAAAAAACGATATTCAGCCGCTAGACTTGTTTATTATTATTACATTTATTGGAAAAAAGCCACATTCAACCATTTATAATGATAATAGCCTTGTTGTTCATCATTTTAGAGGATATGTCGTCTGATATAAATGGCCGAATGCCTATTAATGGTAAAACATGGACATGTTTGGATCTAATCAATGAATGTTTATTTCTTAACAACAATAATCATTATATTTTCTCTATAAATGGGCATCTATTATAGTCTGATATCGGTTTTTTCATCACCGACATCGACTAATAATCGAAATGCCCATTCAATATCACGTTTAAAATCTTCTAATAAACGTCGACGTCGTCATAAGCGACATCATTTATTAAATCGTTTTTTCTTGGGTTCAAGTCATTTTTTTGTCAATTCACAAACTCAGACATGTCTATTTCATGAATATTATGCATTAAATTTAAATCGAGATATATTATCACCTGTACACTTACATCTTTCATTACCAGAATCAAATCATTCAACGATAATACGTCC